ACCGTGATTACAATGTCTTAGGTACGTCTCCATTGCTGTCTGGAAGCGCTGGATCGCAGTGTACTGTGTGTCCGTCGCAAGTGGGTTTGTGCCCGTCGTGATCACTTGGCCACTCACAAACGGAATATATTTATCTACTGCCTGACGCCACACACTCAAAAGCATGTCCTGCACAACAAAGGGACCCAGCAGATATGCACCAACAGTGCGACTGTCCGTCAGCATTCTCATGATAAACTTCGCAGTGTCGCTAATAGGCGAACCAAACACAATCACAGCCTGTGGGCGGGTGTCCGCAAACGCATCCCACGTAGCATTGAAAACTGCATCGTCAGCAGGTTCACTAAGTGAGCTGTTCAAAGTGAACACACCACAAAGCTCATAACCCATGGCAGACATGACTCGTACAGCCTGCTCGTAATCACCCTTCCCAAACAAACTATTCTGGAGATACATGAATCCAAGTCTGCGTACATGAAGCTTATTCACAGCATGGTTCACAAGCGCAAGCAGCTCAGCACCAGGTTCAGCACGCACAAAGTACACATTGGGATTCCACGTTCTCAAGCTAGAAAACGCAGTGATGGGTGCAAATGCAACACTACGGTGCTTTGCAATGGCAGGCAGAGTGAGCTCTACAGCAGTATCCCCGAAAAGTCCTTGTACTGCCAGAATGTCAGGGTCCTCAGTCAGTGCATCGTCAACAGTCTTCCCAGAGGCCTCAAACGTCGTATGCCTGGTCACAATCTTAACACGTATGCCATCAGCCACAGTACAGTTGCGGGACCATAGTGCCGCATTGAAACCAGCATCAACAGCATGTAAAGTATGAGGCGACACTGGATGATCCGTAATATTCAATGCCAACAGCTTCACAGTGTCCTTTGCATTATCTGTATCCTTGCACAGTGCTGTGAGTGGGGTGTACACCAGCAGGTGGATGAGGCACAGCAGTGCGGTGAGGCACATCAGCGGGCGGAAGGACGTACCGCCGCCGTAGTGTGCCACACTCGTGGCCTGGGGTGTGTGGAAGTGCATAGCTTGTGTATTGAAGTTACTGGGAGAGTACAAGAGAAGGGAATGGAATGCAAATAAAAGAGAGACAGGTTGTATAGAGAGAGAGACCACAGCAGAGCAACACAGTGAGCTGGTGGCCATCCAATCACACAACACTGGCAGTGCACCAAGAGCAAAAAAAGACACAACCTTCTGCAAAGATTAACAGTAGGAAAATGTGGGACACGAAAAGGAAACAGAGAAACAGTCACTAGAGGAGAGCAGCAGTAATAAGCGATCCACATGTAAAGAAGGTGTGTATCGCGAGGGTGGTGCACACGAAACCTGCACTCCCAACCCTATTTGTAGACACACATGCTCAGAGAGAGAGAATGAGCAGCAGCCAATAGCGGCAAGTCGTGAACACGGAGCAACCGCCACGATCGAAGAACAGAGACCACAAGACACACATATACCCACACACACATAGAGAGAGAAGGGCAGCCTACTGCAGCGACACACGTCACCGCAAAAGATCCGTCATGAGAGCCCACCACACATGGAAACACACTAGTGAAGGAAGAAGAGAAGCAACACAGGATAGTGCAGAAGGCAGCAAAGAAGCAGAACCAAAACCACAGCCACATTCTAAATGGAGAACATGATCGCTCTCACACATCACATCCAATACGCTGTTTCACCATTCACAGAGTGCACATCCACCACACAAGTGAGCACGATGTGAATGAAGTGCCGGACAATCACATACACACATGAGTAAAAAACGTCCAAAACAAATACCTAAATGACAAACATAATATATTTAACCTATCAGCAGAAAACAAAAAAAGAACATAAAATGAAGGAAGAATGCATCATAACTCCCCTAATTATAGAAGGAAAAAGTCAGAGAGACAAACCACAGAACAAACAAACACTCATTGAAATGGATAATCCAAATAAAAAATTAAGGTTACATTATTTAAACGTTTATGTAAAATCTAAAAAAAAGTTTCAGAAGAATAAA